CCTCACACACACTCACACACATACACACACAGACACACACACACACACACCCTCACCACACACACCCTCACACACACACACACACACACACACACAGACAGACACACACACACACACACACAGCGTCAGGTACAGGAAACACCGCAGGTGTCTGCTCTGTGTGAGAGAGAGAGAGAGAGAGAGATTCACCACACCTCACCCTCACACACACACACACCCTCACACACAGACCGACACACACACAGACACACACACACCACAGACAGACACACACACAGACCGACACAGACACACACACACACACCACAGACAGACACACAGTCACACACAGACAGACAGACACACAGTCACACACACACAGACAGACAGACACACAGACACACACACACACACCACAAACAGACACACAGTCACACAGACACCACAGACAGACACACGCAGACGCAGACACAGACGCAGACACAGACGCCGCGGCTCACCCGGCCCTGGTTCCCAGCGTAGCCGAGGTACAGTCTCACGATCTCCGCGGCGGTCACTCCGGTGACCAGAGAACAGAACAGCATTCGCTGCAGGTCATCGAGTCTCTCCAACTGCGGACACACGGACAGCCTCAGGGGGGGCCTCGGGGGGGGGTCAGCCTCGGGGGGTCAGCCTCGGGGGGGTCAGCCTCGGGGGGTCAGCCTCGGGGGGTCAGCCTCGGGGGGTCAGCCTCGGGGCGGACCTCGGGGGGGGGGTCAGCCTCGGGGGGGGTCAGGGACAGCCTCGGGGGGTCAGCCTCGGGGGGGGGTCAGCCTCGGGGGGGGGACAGGGACAGCCTCAGGGGGGTCAGCCTCGGGGGGGGACAGCCCTCCCCTCACTCCCTCTCCCCTCCCCCCGCGTTCGGCCCCCGGAGCCCACAGTCACTACACTGGACGGCGTGTCCCGGGAAGCGCTTTGAGACGTCTCGTGTGTTACTGTTGTTGTCTTATTATTATTGTTATTATTATTATTGTTATTATTATTATTGTTGTTGTTGTTATTATTGTTATTATTATTATTGTTGTTGTTATTGTTGTTATTGTTATTATTATTATTATTGTTATTATTGTTATTATTATTGTTGTTATTGTTGTTATTGTTATTATTGTTATTATTGTTATTATTGTTATTATTGTTGTTATTATTATTATTATTATTATTGCTCATTGTTTTATTGTTGTGTGGTTGTGACATTGTGATTATTATATATTATTTTTGTTGTTATTTACTGACTTTGACTTGAAGAAGGAATATCTCCGTCAGCAGAAAGATGACGAACAGCACCAGATTCACGTACAGACAGTTGTGAAGCATAGAGTTGGCGATGAAGTCAAACCCTTCAGAGAAAATATCAATCCATTAAACACAGAAACAACGCGGATTATTATTACTATTGTTATTGTTATTATTATTATTATTGTTGTTATTAGTATTATTGTTGTTGTTGTTGTTATTATTATTGTTGTTATTATTGTTGTTATTATTATTGTTATTATTATTGTTATTATAATTATTGTTATAATTATTATTGTTATTATTAATATTGTTATTATTATTGTTGTTATTATTATTGTTGGTATTGTTATTATTATTGTTATTATTATTGTTATTGTTGTTGTTATTGTTATTATTGTTGTTGTGGTGCTGAGCGGTTTCACGGTCCCTGTAACTCATTATATTATTATTGTCGTTATTATTATTATTGCAGTGTTGTATTTTGTTATTCTATTTGTATTATATCATTATATTATTTTATATTGCAGTGTCTTATATAATTAGTATTATATTTAATATTATAATGTTTTATTATATTATATTACAGTACTATATTATTGTATATAACTAAAGTGCTGTGTTATAGAATTATATTGTGTATAATTATATATAATTTAATAATATATCTAATATATATAATATAATACATATTAATGTATATAATATGTTAGTGTTATATGCAGTTATTATTACATTATATGTTATATATTATATTATTATAGCATAGTGCTGAAATGATAAGTTATATAGTTACATTAAATATTATTATCATATGTTATATATTATTGTAGCACAGTACTGAAATGGTATGTTATATAATTATATTATATATTATATTAGGATTATATTATTAGTAGTATTGTATTATTATATTATATATTATAATATTATAGTATATGTTTTATTAGTATTGTGTATACAATTATATTATACATTATTATATTATGGTAAAGTACTGAAGTGGTAAGTCATACAATTATTATTATATTATGTATTATATCATTGGTATTAATATATTATTATTGTAGTATATGTTATATTAGTGTTATTATAGTATAAAACTGTAGTGGTATGACATATAATTATTTTATTGTATTAATATTATATATTATCTTAGTATATAATTATTATTTTATAGTATAGTTTGTTTAGTTATATGTATATTTGTGTGTTGTTAGGGTTTGTTACGTATAAGTATTGTTTTTTATTATATTTTATTATTGTATGTTATAATGATATGTTATACATATAGTTAGTATTGTATTATATATTATTATATATTATAGTGCCATTTTATATATAAATATTATTTGTATGTTATTAGGGTTTGTTATATATCATTATATTTGATTGTATTATTATACTTAATTATATATTGTGGTGTCATATAATTATTACTGTATTATGTGTTTGTGTTATTATTGTGTGGTTTGTATAATTGTTACAGTATATGTATGTTTGTATGTTATTAGGGTTTGTTGTATATGTTATATATTACGGTGCTTTGTTATATATAAATATAAATTTTATTATATTATATGTTATATATTATGGTGGTTTGTTATATAAATCTCATATTATATATTATATATTATTATATATTACAGTGTTGTGTTATATATAAATATATTATATATTATTATTATATTTTATTATGTATTACGGTGGTTTGTTATATGTAAATATATTACATATTATTATCCATTACAATGTTGTGTTATATATAAATATATATTTTATTATATTATACGTTATGTATAATGGTGGTTTGTTGTACATAACTATTATATATTTTATTATTATATGTTATGGTGGTGTATTATATATGATTATTATCTGCATTATTAGGGTTTGTTGTACATAACTATTATATATTTTATTATATTATATATTATAAGTGATGGTGGTTTGTTGTATATAAATATTATATTATATTTTATGATTATATGTTGTTGTGGTGTATTATATGTGATTATTATCTGTATTATTGGGGTTTGTTGTACATAATTATTATATTATTATGTGATGTGTTTGTCTGTTATTGTGTAGTTTGTATTTATATTATGTGATGTGTTTGTCTGTTATTGTGTAGTTTGTATTATTATATTATTATGTGATGTGTTTGTCTGTTATTGTGTAGTTTATTATTATTATATTACTATGTGATGTGTTTGTGTTATTGTTGTTGTGTCGTTTGTGTAATTATTATATTTCAGGTTAAAATAAACCCAATAAAGCCCTTCACTGCAGCCCCTCAGCTGACCCTGTGCCAGGATCAATCATGGCGGCCGCCAGGCACCCGCGTGCAGCGCGCGAGAGAGAACGCCGCCATCTTTCGTGCTGGCAAACCAGTCACCTGGTTGGAAGGGGGCGGGGTCCTCCCGGCGCCCGGCGGCTCGCGGCTCCGCGCTCGTCATCACGCAGTGCCCGCGAGAAGCGCCGCCGTCGCCCCACCCGCACCCCCCTCCCCGGCCAACGTCACAGGAGCTCGCCCCGCCCCCCCCGGTTGCCTTGGCAACGCGCTGAGGCCCAGGGTACGGCGGGTGAAGCCTCAAGAGGTTTGTAATCCAGGGTCCGGGGCCCCTCCCTCGCCACCCCACCCCGGGGGCTAATAAAACTCCTTCATGACGCGGTACGATCGGTTGCCGTGGCGACGGGGAGGGAAGCGAGTACGGCGTCTGCTGCCCGAGATGAGGGGGGGGGGGCGCCATCTTCGATGTTGGCACTTACTTGCCAGTATCAGAGATGGCGGTCCCGGAGGAAGGACGCCATCTTTAATGCTGGCCCCGGCTCGCCAATATCAAAGATGGTGGGCGTGCGCCATCTTTGAAGCTGGCAACTGGCATCTCCCGCTTGGCTCCTCGGCCGCCATCTTTGATGCTGGCGCTCACACACACACACATGGTCATTGGGTTAATACTCCGGATGGTTTAGTGACTGTTCTGCGCTGATTATAGATATATATATTGTATATATGGGCTGTTTATGTTAATAATAATAAACAATAACAATTCGGTCGCTGCAACCGCAACCCCCGGCCGTTTATGAGGGGACGTCGCTGGGCGCGATTGGCCCCCAAAGAGGGAGAGGGACTCTGGGGGAGTCGGGACGGAGGGAGTGTGAGAGGGACTCGGGGGGGAGTGACGGAGGGAGTGTGAGAGGGACTCGGGGGGGAGTCGGGACGGAGGGAGTGTGAGAGGGACTCGGGGGGGAGTCGGGACGGAGGGAGTGTGAGAGGGAGAGATGAGGAGAACATGACACGGGTTGAAAAGCAAACGCGGTGGGGACTGTGGTAGAAAAAGACTTGTTTGTTTATTGGACATGATGTAATGGTGGGGGGGGGTTTGCCCTGAGACCCCCACCACACGCACACACTCACACTCACACACACTCACACACACACACACACACACACACACACGTGAAGGATAAGGACACTAACAGTCACTGTGAGAGGGTGGGTGTAAGCGACTGACACACACACACTCATTCACAGTCAGTGCGGGTGTGAGGGGCTGACACACACACACACACTCACACACACACACTCACTCACACACTCACTCACAGTCAGTGCGGGTGTAAGCGACTGACACACACACACTCACTCACAGTCAGTGCGGGTGTGAGGGGCTGACACACACACACACTCACTCACACACTCACTCACAGTCAGTGCGGGTGTGAGGGGCTGACACACTCACACA